ACAAAATTCTAATGTCAATCACTCAATCCTCATCACGCAGAATGGACTGACATGAAAGGGACGCACACGCAGCATACACACTTTTTCGCATAATGGGAGCGAAGCCGAAAATCCCTGGTCAAGTGCAAGCTGCTCAAACACCCCACGTCAAGGCATCCGAAGCACACATGCCAAGTCAGGGTAGACACGCTTCGCTCCGCATGACTTCAGATCACTGAAGTCCATTCTGCTTGGAGCATCAGCCACATTGGAGGATGTGGGCGCACGGCCGAACCACACTTTGAGTTGAAGGCTCGCCTCCAAGTCAAGGAAAGTTCTCACAAGCAAGTCATTGCTGCAAAATACAAAACGACCTGGGCACCTGCGATGAGTTTTGCCCACGCCTGCGCCGCCACCACCAGAGGGGCTATTTCATGATGGTAAATTGGAGTTTCAGAACGCATCAAGAGATACTCCATCAGCACCTTTGGCACTACTGACCCGAAGTACTGAAGTTTCGCGCCATTAGGGGAAACCAAGACAGCTCCTATACCGCCCCAACCCAACTCAGGTTCACAGGCACCATCAGTAAAGACAAACCATCTGTCAAGGACTGCAGGCTGAACAAGCAGAGGCGTGGCACAGTCAAGGCGAACCTTCAGCCAATCAAGAGCCTTCATCATGTCCTGATTGATGGGCCTCCCCATTGGCTGCAAATCGCATTGCTTCGCAAGGAACCTGATGGAAGCGCCTGACACACGTCCAAAGGCATATCCCTCGAAGAAGACCATACGACCACGGAGTCGTTCAAAAGTCTTTTGACTAAGGACCCCAGACTGGATTATCCCGTCAATGAAGCTGGTGAGCTCGGCTTTCCGCTCTTCGGTGTGCCCCACCTTCACGCTCCTTCGGAGAGATCAACGTTAAGCCCCAACATTTTAAATTGATCCCCGTAAGGCAAGGCCTTGTGGCCGTCACGCGCATAATGGATCCCAAGTAAAGTGAACAGGCTGTCGATGACCCACTCAGTACTGGCTGCTAGCTGTTTGCGGCCAATTTTCCACAGGACTATGCTATGTTTAAGGAAAGAGGAAACCGAGGCAACAGATCCAAACGGTAGAGAATTAAGACCCAACAGGACCGGTGTCTCCACATTCGGCTGATGCACTGCAAGTCTCACAAACTCCCTCACCGCAGCATTCACCCCGAACTGCTTATAGGCTGAAGTGAGATCACGCGTTCTGCCAACAAGATCAGCCTGCGGACCATGAGTTGAAAACACATGAGAGATCATTGCGGCCAACTCGTCAACCGTGCGCAAAATATATTTTTCCTTAAGACCTACGGTGGAGTTCAGCTTGCAAATGGACACGTCATCAATGACACGCACTTTCGCCCCTTGGGTGATCCCAAAGCGATAGCCTACCACTTTGTCAGTCCAGGAGTCAGATGCGTCTCGCCACACCCAGCCTGCTGAAAGCTCCTTTTCAGTCTCTGCCCAAGTTTGAGCCTCAAGCTCGGATTCCTGCTGCCTTTGCATCTTGTCTTGCACTGCCTGATTCAAACCTGCCGACAAAGTCCTCAAGGTTTCAACCGACATCTCTGGTCGCCTGACTCTGGGAGGAAAGTGGCCTGAAACATTCTGCCACCCTGACAAGTCGAATCCCCGGCAGATCTCCGGGACCAACTCAGGGTCGTCGCGCCCCGCAGCATCCATGAGCTCCCGTAGCAACAGGAGCCGCTTGCCTGAAAGTATGGATTTCAGGTGCTCGGGTGACCGCTTATGGAGCTCATCTTCCTTTGGTTGCAGGGCCTTTGCCCTGGCTGTCCAATGGGCTACTGCATCAACACGTTTCTTTGCCAGCACGTAAGGCTCAGAAGCAAAGTTGAGTTTAGCCACCATTTTGACATCATCAGAGACATGACCTGTCATAGCCAAAGGATGACCTGCAATTGCAGCTCCTCGTATGAACTCGTCCGGAGAACATGGCATGCCAACTTTGCAAACCTCAACTTTTACGGACTTATCAACGGCAGGATCAAGACCAGAAAGGTACGTAAAGTCAGCTGCAAAGTCCCCATCTCAGAGATCCTAAGGAGGGAACGTTCAACAATGCGGGCGCCCTTGGGCTGCTCTTTCAAGAATGACTCTGCTGCATGGCTGGCAACAACTGATACACAGTAGCGGTAGTGTGAGAATTCTGACACCAAAGGCTTGAGTTTGTTGCCCCTCGGTTGCTGTCCCAATGCCAAGCGTGTAACTGCAGCAGGATCATGTGTCTCCTGATCACGCAACGTGAGCAATGAACCTGCAGGGAAATGCAATTGCTTTAGGATAGCAATGATTCTGGCACAAAGGAGGGCTGATATTGGGCCTCATCTTTTGTCGCAAAATGAAGCTTATTATTCTTCAGGAGAGGCTTCCAAGGTTTATGGGGGTGGAGGCCATCACAGGTGGCTTCTAAAGCTTTCAGCGCATCTTGATTGGCCCAGAGACGCGTGAGCTTCGGTCTTTCACCTCCATGGGCGCAATTATGGAAGTCGACGTTGAATCCAGGTCCAACGGTGTCAATCAATTTCAAGAAAAAGCTGGTCTGCCAACACCAACTATTTTCTGGGTTTTCAAGAATGCATAACACGCCCAAGGAATGCGCGAATTCCATAATGTCGGTTAAAGCTTCATACAACTGATTTGCAAGTTCTACGCGTACTCTGTCTTTTGACCCAAGCTTTGGTTTTCCATCAGGGTGCATGGCGCACCGCAAAGGGATGGGAACCACGAAACCTTGTCGCTGCCATCCTGGCAGTGGCCGATCCCTAGCTCGGCTGGCTGTGCCACACACAGGGGCAGCAAAGCAAGCTAGCATAGTGTCACGTTCAGCAAGGATCAAGTCTTTGACAGACTGACGTTGGGCCGGGTCTGCCAAAATCAAGAAAAACTGTTTTCTTGGACGGGGCTCTATGTTTGTCATTGTCTACCTGGAATGTACGAAAACCTGCAGCCTCTGCAGCCTTACTGAGTACCGCGGACCCACAACAAAACTCGACAAAGAGCATTTGCTCAGGGCAACTTTGACCTGGCAGGTGTGTTGGGGGGGGGTCAGGCTTACAGGCTAAGGCCTTACGCGCATCCCTGGCTATGGTCAAGGAATTTCTTAAGTCCTTTGTGGCGCAAGCAGATGCAGCGGGAACAGGAAAACCCAAGGTGGTGAGTTTGTCTTGATCGACCTGGCTGAGCTTGTTGCACCTGGCAGAATAAGCAACCAAGACTACCCCATCCCCTTTCCAAGGCTCGACTGCGTGCCATCTTTTTGGTGAAGGCAAGACTTTGGGCCCCCCATTCACGTCCATTACCACTCCCACGACGGACCCATGAGGTGTGTCCTTTGCAACGTCACCTTGAGACGATTCGTGCCAGAGGCCTCCACCTTGGAAGTGAGTCAAGGGAATGACTATCGATGACAAATCCATGTTATGTGAGTCACGATGACAACCTGAGTTGGAGTTATCAGGCACTGTGACAGCGTTGAACTCAAGCTGAGGGCAAACTTGCTTGACTACGGCGCGCAACGTTTGGGCAGTCAAGAGGTAGGTTCTGCGTGCTTCGGTACAGGCCACACACACACCGCCATGAACAAACATGCCAGTACTGAACCTGCGACCTTGCGATTGCACACCTTCCCGAGCAGGATCCTTTGGTAAAGAATCAAACAGCGCAGGCAAAGCCTCGGAATCGAAGGAAGAGTCCTGGAGGATGCGATGTGCCAGGGCTTCCGGGTCCTGAAGGGAGCGACTCTGGTCACCTGCGGAGGCCGGCTTAGGGAGGTCAAGGCCTAAACCTAAACTAGGGGTAGGGGATGAAACCATATCAGGCCCACGAGCTGTGGCAACAGCTTGTCCAATGGGCTCGTTTGCAGAATTGGTATTGAGGATGGCAACCGACTTCGCGGCGCCTTCACACGCATAAGGAAAACTTGATGCAGAGGCTGAAGACTTGCAGTCGTTCACGACTCCACGCGCTGTGCTCAGCCCTTTGACACGCGCAGTGTCAACCGTCGCAGGATCACACGAGTCCAACGACTCCGCTGCGGCGCCGGTCACGGCAGATGACTTTCGGGCTCTTAAAAGATCGAAGTGTTTGGATTTGGCATTGTCAAGTGAAACACGGAGCCGATCACGCTCCTTGCCGGTGATGGTGCATACTCATTTGCGCTTGGCCCTACACGTGTAGAGCCCATGGCCAGCTTTGTGACATCCAACACAAATGTGCAAACCACGCTTGCACGCAACGATGCCTTGGGCGTTGTTCTTTGTTTCCTCGGAGCAACCTGAGGCACAGTTGAACCCCCAGCATGCGTTGCCATCAGCAGTGCGGCAATCATAACCCTTAAGCTCCTCAGGCTTACCACGGGGTTCATGGGATTGCTTTGCTTTGGCCTTGGACTTAGATCAAACATGAGACGTCTAAAATGGGCATCAAGAGGTGATTCGCCAGTCGCATCGACCTTGAAAGGGGGCGGGGCCTCCCGCGCAAGCAACATGAAAAGCTCCTTGTCGGCCCTAATGCACTGACTCAAACTGATGGGAGCATACGAGGGAGGTGGCACCTGGGACAGGCAATCCAGGAGTTTTTGCACCCATCTCTGACGCAGCTCATAGCCAGCAACAAACACTGATCGTACGCTAGACCTCTCCGCGTGAGTGCCCATTGGACTCGCAAAGAATCACTAACGGCGCAGTCAATGTTGACTTGGCCTGCACTCACTTTCACCACACCTTGCTCTACCTTCAAGAGAGATGGATGATCCTTCTGGCCAGCCACTACCTCCACCCCTCTCTTACTACACTTTGACGGCGGAATCCAAGTCAGAATACCTGACTCATACTGGCTGTTGCACAGATCAATCAACTGGTGGCTTGGCTCCAGCTCGCCACTAAGCTCCAAGCCAGTAAGCCTCTGCTTCTGTTTGTCCATGCGTGCACGCTTCTCAGGAGGTGGAAGCCGCTTCTGGCTGAGCCCTTCAACAGTGTCAGCGTTCGCCAAGTCACGGTAAGTTTGAACAACTAATGCTGAAGCTTCAAAATGCAGGCGTCTCAGCATGGACTTCTGCCCTATCGTGGGGGAGCTTCCGAACACATGACCACTCAAGGTATCAATCTGAGCATCAGTGGGCGGCACTTGCAGGGAACCTACGCAGAAAGCAAGCCCCCTGAAGGTGTCAATGCTCTATGCTTTAAGCTTGTCGCGCAGGTCACTGTGCACTTCATCACACCTTTGTTTGAAGGCAGCAGCACTCTCGATCACGGACATGGCTCAAACAGCCCTATCTACCTTCTCGAGTTTCAGCACTGCAAGCGCCATGAAAACTCAGCGGGTCAGTAAATGTTGGACTTCCCAGCAGCATGATTGGGAGCTAACTCGAGCTTTATGCCGCAACTAGTATCAGCACAAATGGTCAAGTTGCATACACGTGTCTTCCTCGTATGCCTTGCATTGAGCCTTGAGCTCACTAGTTGTTCAAAAGCTTATGGCAAAGCCGGCGACGCTCTGCGCCGTGGCTCAGCTGATCTCTCACCAATGCGTGGAACGGACCAATCTTCCTACCACACAAGAACAAGGATTTGTGCTCCGCCCTAGCGATGTGATGGACGCCTGACTTCGCACGCCTCCAATTCACTAGGCCCTCAGGAAGCACAGGAGGACTCAAAATCCGCCTAAAGGAACCTTCCTCCTCAGCGGAGCTAGCACTCTCCGATGAGCCTGCAGTCACGTGACCACCATCTGCATGATCCTCCGCTTGAGGTTCACCCCTGTCTGGCCCCGACCACGAATTGTCCTCTGGCGGATCCTCCTCATCTTTGATCTCAATCGCCTCTGCCCTGACAGCCGGTTTTGCCACGAAGCGGGTGGAATCCGGCCTGAAATTGTCAAGTCTGATATCTTTCAGCGCAGATTCTAAAATCCGCAATGGATGAGCATTGGAATCCCGCGAGTACAGCAAGGCCACGCGAGCATCCCCAGAAGTGTGATATCCCAGGAGCAACCTATCGGAAATGCCCACTCCATACTTCGCAGCAAAGCTCAAACATGTAGCTTTCATGCTGTGTGAAGTCACGCGGCGGTCCTTTATCGCATCAGGTCTACCGAAGAGCAAGCACCTGAGCCACCTGCCAGCTTCGTCTGTGTCAAGGTGCCTCGCAGTGGGGACACCATTAGCATCCGGCGCCCCAAAAAGGGGGAAGTCAGGAGGTGAGCCCATGCCCAGCTCCGCTCTGGCCCTCATGAACTGCACAGCCCAGTTGGACTCCACCACCCCTATTGCGGGTGCACACAACGGTAGCAGTTGCCCTTTGAATTGTCGCGCCCTCTGAGTTTTGCGAACGCCCGCCCGGCACTCAAGATAGGCAAGAATGCCTCGCTCGTCACAGTCCTGTATGATAGTCTGATTTATGTCAGACCACCGGGCCCTTGCATATACGGTCAAAAGAACCGTGCCAGCAAAGCACCTGTCCCAAAGATCAGAACCAAAATCGAGAATCTGATGCAACTTCCTGAGCTCTGGAACTTGAAGAGGGGAAGCCTGCTGGATATCACCAGTGCGCAACTCACAAGTGGATCCATGACACCGTCTGCTATCAGCTATCCCGGCAAGCTGCTCCACTCCGAACACATGTCTGCAAAAGGTCATAGCTTCAAGAAAAGCTTTGCGGCTGGATGCAGTGGCATGTGAATCACGCAACTACACAATGTGCAGGGGCACATTAGGGCCAATTAATTTTCATGGCTGTCCATACCTTCTGCTCTCTTGATTCTCTTGACTGTCTGTCCTCACGCTCTCTTAATTCTCTTGACTGTCCATCCTCATGCTCTCTGGGCCAACGTCGGACCAATTTCGGGCCAATTTCGGATCAATCGGAACATTTTAACCATCATATCCTTAGAAGACGTGTCGATCTTCCGAATACTCAGCTTACATCGTGCCAATCTATCAGTTTTTTCCGAAGCTTGCTCATAAAAAATCCAAAAAATTGCTTCGAAGCATAGCCGCGGTCAGAAATGCAAAATTTCCAGCTGGCTTCTTTCATATTTATTTTTCAACAAAATGAATCTGCGCAAAGTTTAATCTTACATGCTTTGATCAGAATTGCTCGTCAACTCGTTGCCGCCCCGTACTCATAAGATGATTCCGAGTCAGTCTCGTTCAGTTCATAAGATGATTTCGAGTCAGTCTCAGTCATTTCACCAGATGATTCTGAATCAGTCTCGTTCATCAAATGATGACGACGAAGTAGCCGTCTCTGAGCTTGCTCGATGCCATCTAAATGACGAAAGCCTTCAAGAACTTTCTCTACAGTCAATGTTTCTGTGAGCTCGTTCATTTCCTGCGCGATTCGGTTGCAGATGTCTTCACAGATAGAATCTACGCTCCAAAGCCATTCCTCTAAGCCTGCTTGCCAATCAGGTTCGCGGCCTTCGTTTGGAATGCGCATCATGTGGAAATGAGCGCGGTTTGTGGCAGCTAAGTGACACCACATTTGCTCTTCCTGATGAAAGCGCTTCTGCAGCCTTTGCAAACGATGACAAGAGAGATGTTTCAATTCAAGCATTCTTGGAAGCGGCCGCTGAGTTTTTGAGTGGCCGATGAATGCCTTCCAAGCGTCCGAGATTTGCCAAGGCTCCATGATGAACTTTTGGAAGCTGATGTCCTGTTCATTCAATTGGATTGTCGGCCTTTTCTATAGGTGCAAAATGATTTTGATGCAAGTCATCGAGACACTCGATGATGAAGCCCTCGAAGGAAGCGGAAAGCCTAATGATGAAAGCCTGGCAGCATTTTCATTCGTGAGCCACTTGAAGGCTTGCGGCGTGTAGACTGCTAATGCCCACATGTGTCCTTCACGCGGCTCGACTTGATGAAAGCGTCGCGCGTCAAAGGTGATGGGTTTGTCATGTATGTCGTGCCACGATCCTACGAGAGCTCGCTTTTTAGTTTTCATTTGGACCTCTGCTGGCGCGTCGCCATTTTCATTTTCCACCCAGACTCGGCCTCCGGTAAATGAACCCAATGTGATTGCGTGATTCGGATGTCCTCTCAAGTTCAGAAGGTCGATGAAGTCCCATTTTCGGATTGCGCAGAATTGCGATGGAAGTCCAAGTTTTGCCCGGAAATTTCTTTCTCAAAAAATGATTGATGACCGCGCACGCGTTTTCATTATTCGACGCGCGCGAGATTCCAGAAATGCCTCCATGAGCGTACAGTCCTAGGGCGCAGTACTTTTCATACGCTCCAGGTCCCACGGCTCGAGTTCGTCCCTTGTGCTTCCATTCTGTGGACCATTCATCCAGCAGATGCACCAGGTTCGCTTCGCTAGGTTCTGAATGAACGGCAGCAGCCAGAAGATCAGTATCTCTGCCTTTTTATTATGCGAGACAGGTGGATTCATTCTGTCGACGAAAAAAATGACTAGCGCTTGAGGCTAGCTGAATTCATGAAACTAATTTCAGGGCGCTGGAACGTTGCGCGTTGGGCTGTCTCGCGCAAAATTGTCGGAAGATCTCCAACGAGGCTGTCCAGCAATCTTCCTTCTGTGCCTTGGGCTGCGGCGCGGGCTTACAAGGGACACGCTTGGGGCGATGCGTCCTGTAGCTTGATGTCGCGGGCCTCCATGAGAAGGCCACACTGCTGCCCCATGATCCACAGCTGCCGCGCCTCGATCGCAACCAATGCCTTGCGGCCTCTGAGCTCAGCCGGCGGATTCATCAGTCTGTTGCCGTCTGTGTCCCAAAATCGGACCTTGGCCATGTTAGCTTTCAGCTTCAGGCATTGCCTCTTGCTGCGCGTCTGCTTGATACGCAGGACTGCAGCCTTGAATCCAGCTTCTTGGCGGCGACTTGGGTTGAGGCCTGCTTCTCCAAGTGCTCCACGATCTTTTCCATTTCAGACGTGAGCTCAAGCACCAGGCTGACTCGTTCGGAGGTTTGCTCGCCTTTGCCAAAGGAGCTGGGCTCATAGAGGATTTCGGCCCATTGGGTTGTTTTCCAGCACAGAAGCTCAGCAAGCAGAAATTTGCCACCCTTCTGGTTGGTGAGCGCGTCGCCAAGTCGGAGATCCATTTTTGAAATGCGTGATTCCATGCTTTCGGCGGTTGAGCTCTTTTCTTATACGGTGAACAAAAAAGATGTCCGACCTGAACTGGAGACAAGCATTGCTCTGCAACCTGGGATTAGCCTGCTGCTGCGCAAGTTTTGTTGCTCTGGCGCGGCTGGCCCTTGACCCTGTCATGGAAAAAGAAGATCTTGCTGTTGCCAATGCCGCGACGCCTGCTGGAGTTATTTTCGGGCACGGGTTCGATGGGCAGAGCCTTCGAGGAGCTGGGTTGGGAAGTCACTTCGCTTGATGTTGACCCCAAGGCCAGCCCAACAATTTGCGCTGACATTTGCAGCTGGGAGCCGCTGCCCAAATTTGCTCCTGGCTATTTCGACATGATCTGGGCCAGCCCCGTGCGCACCGAGTACAGCAGGGTCTTGACTCGTCGACCCAGGCGCTTGGAGGAGGGCGACCGACTTGTGCTGCGAACTTTGCAAATAATTCAAGAGCTGCAGCCACGCTTCTGGGCCATGGAAAACCCAGCCACGGGCCTGCTCAAGCTGCGACCCTTCATGGCAGCGTTGCCTTGGCGGGATGTCAGCTATTGCACTTACGGTTATTCTTATCGCAAGCTCACCAGGATCTGGGGCAACTTGGACTGGGTTCCTGAGCGACCGGTTTGCGGAGCAGGCGGCTTTCGTTGCGAGCAGTCCAGAAGTCTTGGTCACCGCCCTGAAGTAGCGCAAAGGGGCTCCTTCCGTCGCAGTGGCAAAGTTGTGCAGAATTGCCACACTCAAGCGCAACTGTACAGCATCCCGCCAGCCTTGTGTCGGGAGATCGCCTCCGTTGTGAACGCGCGTGTGGTCACATCGCCCGCTGCTGATCGGCTTCCAGCAACAATGCGACGCGCGCTTCGAAGTTCTTGCACACACCCTGCCGCAGCACCGCCGCCAGGCGCTCGTCGTCCAGTCCCAGAAGCCCCGTGCGCCCAAACCGGTGTTCTCCCGCGCCTGGGCCAGCGCCCTGCTGGTGCCGCGCACTTGCTCTGACGATCAACTAGCTTCGGAGGGTCTGCCCACTTTCTGTGGACAACCGAGTCCACAGCAGCGCCGACTGCGATGATCGTTTCGGCGCCGGTTGCCCCGTTGAATGTGGCCTCGGACCCCGCCTCAGCCATCGCGCTTGAAAGTGGTCAAGCAGAAGACAGAGGAACGAGAACGGTTGGAAGCAGGCTGTTGCAAACTGCGTCTGGCAGCACTGCGGCTTCAAAGAGAGAGAACGGTATCGGGGCCGACTTTGACGCAGTCTACGTACTTTATTGAGGACTTTGCCAAAAACCTCGCTGGTGTCCGCGTGCATATTGTGAAAGCTGAATGCAGCGGTAGTCAACATGCGCGTGTGGAGATTTGTTCTGACAGCGGCTTAGTGGCCATGAATGTCTACCTATTTGAGATCCACAGTTGTCTCGTTGCACGTCAAGAATACTTAGCGAAAGAGGACGCACTTGGTTGGAGCCAGGTCCACTTGCGCCGAAAACTACTCACCCGAGCAGCGTTGCAAGTCAAGACTTATGAGCTGTTATGAGCTGGCGCAACGCCTTGGTTTTGAGAATGCGTCGGGCTTGTTCCGGACAAGAAGTTGCACATTGCCTTTCAACCAAACACTGCAGTGGAGCACTGCGCGTGGCAAGAGAGAGGGCGCCGCAACAGCTTCAAGGCCGGGTATCAAAGGCCGGGTATCAAACAGCGCTTTTTCTACCTCGTGAGTTGTCCATAGTGAACCATCATATTGGACACCTCATGTTTCTGAAGATACACTGTGTTCATGTTTTCTGTCTCCGCTTCTCCTTGAATGTCAACCATAAGTTACACTTATTGCACTGATTCTGATGCATGTGTGCAAAGCGCACCTTAGCCGGGTTTGGTTTCCTCTGATTGTCGATGTTTTTTAGTAACTTTCGTATCCAGCGAGATTTTAACAGCAGAGGAAACCTGCAAGCTTTTGCAGCCTGCTAGGCGCTGCTGCTACAGTGAAGACACTGCAGACCAGACAGAATCCTTTATATGCATGTTCTGCACTGGGGCCTTTGCGCTTTCTTGCAAGTCACGCGATGTCGTGTGTTTATCGTGTTCGGGACATACTTGACTGGCACTGGATTTCAAGCGTGGTGCGTGTTTGGATCCATGTGTTGATTGCTATTGACAGCGCCCAGCACCCTGCTGTTCAAACCAGCGAGCTGCGTTGCATTTGGCTCAAGTCAATAGCTTTAGGGCAATGCACTCTTCCAGCACCATCTTCGCCGTATGGTTCAATGTCTGAAGCGGTTCATGCGTGAACATGTATGTATAGTCTTTCTGGTTGCGTACTAAACTCAGATTGTTATCCATAGACATGCAGGATTGACCTGGTAAGCAGTGGAAAAAAGACGCCTTCCAATGGATCAGGCGACATCCTTGCGCGAACGCCGCCATGGCCGTCGCCTCCTCCCGACTTTGGAAACTTGTGGCAGCTCTGCTGTTAGCGTGGGAACTCGGCGCAGCATCCTCGACTCGAACAGATTCGAACAGGGCCTATGCAACGCGCTCGCGGAACAAGGGCTCCAGGTTATCAGCAACATCGGCAAGGCCTCAAAACAAATGGAAGCAGTGCAGGCGAAGTGGAGTACCCACAGAGATGAATTGAACAAGGCCGGGCTGGACAAATAGTTCCGCAAACCTAACGCCCAGGCCAGCCCACCCCCAGCGCTGGGGTTGCATGGAGAAGTCCTTCATGAGGTGGATATTGAAGTCACAGCCATCAGAGCCAACCCAAGCCGTGGAACATGACCTCCCTCAAGTAGCAGTCCGTCCGGACGGGCATCAAGAAGCTAAATAAGGCAGGTCTGATGAGGTGACTCTAGAAGCAGCTTTGTCGGAAAGAGAGCATCGACAGATCGAAAAGCAATGCCAACTTGCAAAAAAACTAGAGCGCACGTCAGCTCTTTTCTACAACGGCATGGAAGATGCCAAGATTGGCCGCGCTGTGAAGACCCTCCCAGTATGGATCTCCCGCGAAGACGTTGAACACTTTGCCCTGCGAAAGGCAGAGCGGGCTGCGGAGGAGAAGGAGGAGAAGGTGCAGGCTGTGGAGGAGAAGGTACAGGCTGCGGCGCGGGCTGCGGAGGAGAAGGCGCAGGCTGCAGAGATGGCGCTGCAACAGCTTCAAGGCTGGGTAACAGTTTGGATGAAAGCAACACATTTTCTTTTTTCTTTTCTTGAGTTGTCCATAGTGTGCCCGTGTTTGTTTGCGTCCGTGCCAGCACGATGAGAATGTCTTGTTGCGCTAAGGAATGAAGCTAGCAACCACAAGTCTGGTTTGCAGAAAAATTTCTTGGAAATTTGTAGCGCGGCTAAAGCAACTTGGTTGTGCATAAAGTCCATTGTTCTTGACGCCAAGCTGACAATCCTTTCGCTATCAGATTGTCCGCTGTTGAATGTCGATTGCGTCATTTGGCTGCTTAATGCGGGCCTAGGTGCGACGGGCGCATAGGTGTGATGAGTGCAAGCTGCTTCGCTCGACTCGATTCAAAACATTGTAAACCACATGTATTCGAACTTTTTTGAGAAAGGTGTTTTGCTTGTTGCTGATTGCTGATGCTTTTGAGTCTGAGTATCCAGGCTTGCGCAGTAGAGGACGCTTACCACCCTGCTCGGCGCTACTGCTACGCTGACCAAGCACTGGCAACAATTTTACACACTGACCTTCTTTCACCAAGGCATAATTGCTATAGGAACTCCACCCCGGAGAGCAAGCAGTTCCCAACTGGTTGACGTCTTGTCATGACGAATGCCTATGCCAATTCCTTAAGCTAAAACGGTCAACAGTTAACTGTGTTTATGTTTTCTCCCAAGTCGAAAAGATTGGTTGCGGGTAAGTCAGTTGCGCATGACAACACCTTTTCTGCGCGATGCTTGAAACTCATGTTTGATTCTCCTCTGTTGAACACAATGCCGACTCAAGGCATCAGCGCACCCGTGCTGAACTTGCTCTCACAAGGCAAACTGGTGCCAGGTCAAGCTATATAGTCCAATTAGTGTGGTTCCGCAGGCACTATTTCGGCGCCATCCACCATCGTTTGGGCGAAGCCGACGCAGTCCAAAGGCGCATCATCGACCTTTCTGCGCCAAACACCAGCGAGTCCAACCTGGCTACAGGGGTGATCGGGTGACGTTCTAGGCACAAGTGATGCGGCCTTTTTTTGCCGAGACAGAAAGCTTGAAAGACTAGGCGATTCGTGAATGCAATGGGAGAACAGTGCAGCGGGCGCCATCTAGCTCTGCGCAGCCATTTGCACGGTTTCTGTCAAACCCATGTCAAGCTTTGCAATGTGCATCGGTGTGGTCATCTTCAGCAGAACGTGATCACTTTAGCTTTGCTATGCCCTTCTTGCCGGCTTGTCATCGTTCACGTGGTTGCTTCGTTATGTCCTTCGCACGCTTCGTTCAATGTATTGCCATCTTGTTCCTTTGGTGCTTGACCAGAGATTGCATCCGGTGGATGACCTCAAAGAAGCCTTGCGCTCAGAACCACCTTCGCAAGAGTTGCTGAATTTGCCCCTGTGAATTCATGCTTTTCGCTGCGTGAAAAACCACATGTGCAGGGCTGACGGGCAAGCTTGAAACTTAATCGTGTTTGCGAAGGCTCGTTGACGAGCGGTTTCTTCACAATTAAGTGCCGCAACAGCAGAACGGAGACAGTGAACTTCATAAAGACGCACGAAGACTTCAGACTAGCAGGACACACACAGAAGAGAACATGTCCAATTCCTATTGAAGAAGAAATACCTACTTGAGAAGCAGCACAACACGACATGCATCGATTATCATGGCGCGCAGATGTCAGCGGTGGTGGTTCTTGCCTTCTTGACCCATGTGAGCCTCGAGCTCTGTGGTTTTGTTGGCTCTTGGCATGCCAAAGGAAACGGCGCGCCAACACACCCACTGACCGTTGGGGTCAAAGCGTTTGACCCAGCGGCAGCGTTAGGTGCTGCTTCATCTGCAACAAGCCT